TGGCAAAGAAGGCAAAGTAGTGGCAAAGTACGGCAAAGTAGTGGCAAAGTACGGTGAAGGAATGGCAAAGTACATCAAAGTACGGCAAAGTAGTGGCAAAGTACGGCAACGTAGTGGCAAAGTACTGCAAAGTAGTGGCAAAGTACGCAAAGTACTGGCAAAGTAGGCAAAGTAGTGGCAAAGTACGGCAAAGGAATGGCAAAGTACATCAAAGTATGGCAAAGTAGTGGCAAAGTACGGCAAAGTAGTGGCAAAGTATGGCAAAGTAGTGGCAACGTACGGCAAAGCAGTGGCAAACTATGGCAAGCAGCGGCAAACTAACTACTGTAGTGCTACATCTGGATAGCCTGTACTACCATAAATTACAGCTTGGATAGCTGTGAGTGTTTGACAACTACTTAAATAAACTACTTGGCTGACCGTGAATACCATAGGATGCATGAGGGGTTTTCACCAACTACTAAAATATGCTGTTTGGCTGGCAGTAACTACCATGGGACAACTTTCAGATAACTGATACTACAAATATATCATATTTGCCTGCCCCATGTTCAAGTAGCTTCGCAATGGCTCTGACAGAATGCATATATTTTTGGTTAGGCTCTACATTATGACATCTAATTACCTGCAAAACACAGTACTGCAGGGGCTCTACAAACGTATAATTGTGTATAGTAGTGATATATATCTTGTATTCTGAGGCTTTATCTTCTATGCTGCAATAATAAAAAAAAACATGGTAAGCTTACATGTCATGTACATGTCTTCTCAGTCTCCTATCAAGACCCTCCACCCTGGGGCCCAATAATCTGTTCTTCAGACTTTTCTGATTCCTCCTCTTCTTCTTCCCCTTGTTCCAACTCTGCCGCCTCCTCTGCCACCTCTGACTGCTGTACCATCACTCCTGCCATGATCCCATCTTTTTCTGGACTCATGAAGATCATTTTCACTGGTCTGTGTTGTCTTGGGTCTGTCTGGGCAACCTGTGGCCACATGGTGGTAGGGCAGAAAACAGCCCTTGCATAGGTTGATGCTACACTCCTGACATCTGAACACAGTCGATACAGGGCAACCTTTCCTTGTTTTTCTCCCTAACTGAATGCACCATCTGCAGGATGAGCCACGGGAGCGCTGACTATGTACTAAATGGTGGTTTTTGAATGAGCTGATCACAGGTTCAGAATTTCTGGTATGCTGTTTTCGGGATGAAAAACCACCAACCAGTGCCATGCCAACTTCAATTTGGAAGGCTTTGTGCATTTTCTTTGGATCCACTGATTCTTTGTACAGGATCCAGCTGTTGCATATAGCAGTATCCAGAAGGTAGAAAAAAATATACTTCCACCATTTCTTTGACTGACGCTGGGCTGTATAATAGGACCTGAGTTGGTTTGACTTGTCAACTCCACCCATGTACAGATTGTAGTCATAAATTGCTTCTGGGGAAGGTAAAGAGTATGCTACTTTCCTGCCAGTATCTGGTGAGCGCACAAAACGGGTAACTCTTTGATTCTCGGTTCTATAGCCCTCATAGTATGTTGTCAGTATATTCAGGAGGTTGGAGTCCTTCCATGATATAGCCACCACTGTATCCTTTTGTCTGGATACAAACTGTCCCCTCTCTAAATTTGTTATTGCCTTGTGATTTGAATTTTTCTTGGGGTTGGTACGGAGGGCATTTGGAAATCCCACTCTATCTTGCCTAACGCTGCCAACCACATATATTTCATGATTTTCTAGCAGGTAACTCACCATGTCTACACTGGTATAATAACTGTCAGTGTACAGGACATGATGGCATCCCCTAATGTCAACGATAAGCCTTTCACACAGATCTCTTGTTCTGGACACATCCCTTCTATACTTCTCATGACTACCAGTAATTGACATGATCTCAATCCTGTAGTTGTAGCCTGATTTGCTATCAGCCAAGGCATATATTTTGAATCCCTTAGCATGGGGTTTTCCCTGGATAAAAACTGTAGGTACTCCTCCATAACGACCCTTGTAGCCAACAATAGATTCATCTATGCTAATCTGGCGATGCATGTTGTAACATTCCCGGGAATTGGTGAAGACAGCATCCAGTACTGGCTGTACTTTATACAGAGGCGCTTCTTTTCTCCTTTCTCTGCGTTCTTCATCATTGACTATATTCATTGGGTCAGTTTCTGGGTTGTTACAGTGAAAATACTGCATCAGTTTTTGGTACCTGTTGCGGCTCATAACATTGGCAATGTAGTCATTTCTTATAGCTGCTATCTCTGGTTTTGAATCAACACCCATGATGGCAATTATTCCAATCAGTACACTTATTTCTTCAGTGCTAGCTGGAGACCAGAATCTATTCCCTCCATTCTTAGTGATGCACCAGGTTGCATAACTGTTGGTTTCTTTCCATAATCTTTTCACCAGGGATCTTGGAAAGATGGAATAGAAAGCATCAATGGGTTTTGCACCCTCACCCAAATCAATGCTTGGTCCAGGTGTGTTACCAGTGAAGGGCTGTGTATGGCGTTTTTTTAGCATTGTACTCCATCCATCATCATCTATCCTACTACTGTCGTCTTCAGACTCAGAGTAGTGTGCTGGTTCAGTATATACTGTTTTCCAGGTGTTTTCTATAAATTTGGCATTGTGGTTACGTAATCTTAACCGTGCCATCTCTTCATCTTCAGATGAAAAACCACCTATTTCACTCCCTGATGAGGAATCTACTGGAGGTGGTGGGGATGGTGAGGACATGTATGAACCATCATCATCGTCAGAAGTACTGTCATGTACCAGGGCATGGCTTACAATTATCCCCTGCATTTCTGGTAGTGGTTGCTCCCTACTTTCTGATGGTGGTGGGTCTATATTTTCTGGTGGCGGTGGGTCTACACTTTCTGCAGATGTGTCATTGCTTGTATCCATCTTTTCCTCATTTTCAATGTCACTAACAATTGCATCTTTTTCAATATCCCCTTTTTTCTGCTGTTTTTGTCGCACTTTCCCAGACCTGGTTGTTGAAGGCTCTGTAAGGAGAAGCTTTTCTGCATCAGTAAGCTGCAAGGAGGACATGCTTCATGCAAGTGGCTCACAGTTGCACCAAATCCTGTAATAACAATGAATGAGAACCCACTGTTACTGACAGGAAACAGGTTTCCATGCATATAAGGGAGGGTGCAGAAGGATGGGCACTTGGATAGAGAAATCAGCGTGTCCTCCTGCAACTCTCCTGGACACCATAAAATAAACGCCATGCAAAGGAATCACACAGAAATGACAGTAGTGCATATCAAAAATATTTGCATTCTAGCAGAGCCAACATGTAGTTATCAATTTTTCATACCGCCCCAGTATGGATATTTTATAGTGTGGACGAACCAAGGCTTTTATATGTGTACTTGCTACCAGCAGAGTTGAACTGGCATGCACTCAGGCCATGATCAGTGGTATGAAACAGTAGCCTCGTGTATCCATTACGGTATTTTATGTAGTTAGCTTTGACTGATCAGCACTCAGGCTATGCTCAGCAGTATGAAACAGTAGCCTCGTGTATCCATTACGGTATTTTATGTAGTTAGCCTTGACCGATCAGCACTTAGGCTATGCTCTGTGGTATGAAACTGTAGGCTCGTGTATCCATTACAGTATTTTATGTAGTTAGCCTTGGCTGAACTGTACTTACCAGTTCTCAGCATGAGCTGTGTACGGGTTTCTTGCAATTCAATGTAGGCAAAATTCAACGGGAGAGCTGACAAAAACACGTCCTGTTTTATCCTCAGGAATGCACCAAATAAACAGGATTAGTAAAAAATATTCCCTTGAGTCACCTCTATATGCTAACATGGTTGGCTGCAGGATATATGATATCCCTGACCCAGGGGTGCTGCCAGACCCCACATGTTCAAGACTGCATATTTCTGCAACTTGGGCAATGAACCAGTGATCACTCAATTACATTTTGCTGCACTGTGGGAGGTAATCTCAAATTAGGTTGGGCAAATCACCGGCTACTAAAAATTACATTATGGGAGAAAGAGGATTAACAAGTGTGTTTTACCCAAATGTTCACTGCCAACTGTTAACAAGTGTGCGTCATCCAAATGTTCACTGCCACCTGTTAACACGTATGTTTTTACCCAAATGTTCACTGCCAACTGTTAACAAGTGTGCGTCATCCAAATGTTCACTGCCACCTGTTAACACGTATGTTTTTACCCAAATGTTCACTGCCAACTGTTAACAGTGTGCTTCATCCAAATAATCACTACC